ATCTAGACTATAGAGAAAATAAGAAGAAAAAAAAAAAAAGAAAAAAAGCCTCCTGACTCACTGTCTTCCCAAGACTGCCCTAGCCCAGGGCATTTTCCCTGCCTTGGGAAGTGTTGCAAAATTTGAGCTTGCCCTAGAGGCATCTCTCACTAATTACTGGATATCCTGGTTTTGTGTAAGGACACAGGCAGAACCTTCCCACAGGTTCTTCTTTACAGCATGGGAAAAAAAACTCGAAACACTGATTTCTGTTTCAGCATCCCCAGCAGACTGCTGTGAAGGGCTGATTACCCACTCGAGGGGATCTCTTTCTGGAGCCATCCTCCTCAGCTCTGGGGCATCACTCACCAACAGCCTCTAAGAAGCGAGGAATTTCAAAGGCAAAACCCAACCTTACTTTTAATATTTGCCCTCTGTACCTGAAGTTTGGGTCACTTTCAATTTTATTTTTTTTTTCTGCCCTGTAATAAAGCAGGCGAAAGCTTTCAAATTAGAAGGAAAGACTCTGAGAGCTGTGTGAGATGAGGCCCGTTTGAGTTCGCACCGCCTGCCAGCCGTGCTGCAAAGGGCTAATGAATCGGCTGGTGAAAGGCAGGGTGCAGAAAATTACAGCCCTGGCCCTGACAAGAGGTAGCACAACCCTGATTACCATGTCAGCTCGACGCAGGGCAGATGCTCACGTGGGCTGTAAGCCTCCCTCCACGGTTTATTCATATCAGTAGAGGAAAAACGCTTCAGCTCTGAGATGTTGAATAGCCCATGCTGTATCTACAACATCTTCTGGTACCTTCTGTATCTACAACATCTTCTGGTACCTACTGTATCTACACATCTGCTCATTCCAGCCTCTTCTTTCAGCATCAGTCAGGCCACCGACTCCCGTGGACAGCACGTGTCCCCCTGTCCTGCAATGCTTCAGCTCTGTGGCTGGACCCCAGCACCGGGCTGTACCTGGTGACAATCCTTCTTGCCACTCCTTCAAAGAGAAATGAGGTGATTACAGGGGGTTTCTCCAAATTTAGGAAACAAGAAGTTAAGAATGAAAACTGCATTGAACAGGAAGCAACGCTTTAAGGATTTCTTCCCCACATAGAAATTACCCAATAAATCTGCTTCATTAAATACATAGCCTGCACAGAAATATCCACCTACTTTGATGGATTTTTTTTTTTTTTTCTAGAAAGACCCTTTTCTATCATTTCTAAAAATGAAAGCCTCTGCCAGAACGCATGCAAAGGTATCCACGAAGCTCCAGGAGAGAGGAACGAGCTCTGACTTCAATCGTCAGAGTACCTTCTCCTTTTCCTACCCTGCCTTCTTGAGAAGTCCCGCTGATCAGCTCTTTAAGGGAGTCTTTATTCTCTGCCTAATTTTGCACAAAAGGTATCAAAGGATTTTAACATATTAAAACTTGCAACCTCTTCAAGAATTCATCTCCTTCCTCCCTCTCTTCTTGTTGCTGGAGTTTCACACCTGGGAGCTGTTATAACTCAGCCCTTAAAAGAAGTAGGGTATTTCTTTTAAAAAGTTACTTAGCACACAGAGTAGATGTATATTCACACATAATTACTTGAAAAAAAAATACTCTCCCTCCTCCTTTCCAGCTTCTAAGGACAGAAATAAGAAACACCTTCAAATAACTGTAAATAATAAACCCCGTCACGCTAAACACTTCAAAGTAGAAGTGCAAATATCTCAAGAAGCTTGGGGAACTACACATAATTATGAATTAGCTCTCAAAAACAGATACAGATGATCTTTCAGATAATTTTTCATTCCAAATAGATTTTAAAAGAATATTCCCTGTGATCTGGTAGAGAGAGTAGCAGCTCACCGATAAATGCAGTTCCTCAAGGAAAGCCTGTGGAGCGGGAGCACGTAGGCCAAGCTGCTGAGATGAAGAGGAGTTTTTTGCCTTGGCAGTACCCAGGCAGAAGACCCTCACCTTTGCTCCTTTCCATCGGGGCACAGCCCCAGGGGAGACAGTTTTTCAGTGACACTCCTGATAGGCAGAGCTCTGGAGAAACACATAGCGGTCACCCCCAGGGCCTCAGTGCTGGTCCGGATACCACCCAATGTCCAGCTGAATCGTGCACGACATGGCTTTATACTCTTTCCTACTTCTGACACAGAAAGAGGCTGAAGAGGAGACACCTGGAAGAGCTGTGGGACTGTGAGATGGGGATTGGAGAAGAGAATGGATGACCAGCTCTGATAGGTTCTCCAGCAGGAACTTTAGGTGGCTCTGACAGGGAAATATCCCTTGGAAGGTCTGAAGTATCTACTGCTGCATGGACCTTGTGGAAAACCCCTTGACTGAAGCAGGACTTAATGGCAGAAGTCTTGCCCACCATGAAACACAAACCACCTGCGAGAACCTACTCCCTGCACAGGAAGTAGCAGCCTCAGGGCTGACCTACACCACCCCCTCCCTCCACTCCCAAACAGCCATTCAACTTTCCACTCCAGGGTGGAAATCCTCTTTTTCCTCCCTCCTTCACAGCAAAAACCCCTGCAAAAGTAGGCTCCCTGGAGGCAATCTGTGAACTGTGAAGCTGGGGATCCTGAGAAGACACTGGGTAGGCAAAGTTATCAGCTAACACCCTAGTACAGCTAGAGATAGCAGGTAAGGACCGGCCAGTTTGTGCCTATAGCAGCAGAGGAAAGAAGAGGTGGTAGGAACAAGGACTGATGTATCTGGAAGGAAAAGAGAAGGTTTCTTGCTTCTTTCTTCAAAACATAATAAAGCCAAAAGGGTTGCTCACCTAGCTTACAAAAGACCTATACCAAGTGAAACACTAGCATTGTGGCCTCCAGACAGGCGGCCTTCCTACCAGATGAGGGTGGGACAAGCCACTGACACGTCCTAACAAGCCCAGTACTAAAAGTGACGAAACAGAGAGATCCAGCCTGCTATGTTCTTTAGCCTTGGTGCACAATTTTGCACTCATCAAAGGAGTAAAACCTTCACTGCAGATTGCAGTTATCTCCAGAGCTGCAGGCTCCAGCCATGGGACTTTGGATAGCAACGGCTGGATCCAGCTCTTTGAGGATGTGTAGACATCACGTGTGGGAAGCGTCTGCAGCACTTGGCCTCAGAAACCCAGCAGCCCTCATTTGGAAAGTTGCTGGGAGCAAGCTCATTTCATCGAGTCCAATCACTTGGACTGTCTGCCCCTTCAGGACATCCTTGTTTGCCCTATTCTTTCCTTCATCACCCCGGTGATTACAAACAAAGAGGAAAGCAAAGAACAGAGCAGAGAGATGAACCTGGAGAACAGCTGACAGCATTTTTCGCCGAGCACAGTGCACTCACATGGCAGGACACAGGTGCCTACAAGAGAGCGGGCCTACAACAACTTGATGCAAACAGTAGCCTTAAGCTACTCGTGTCAAAAGTGTCCAAGAGAGTGCACTGGCTTTGAGGAATCATCTAGCAACATCTCACGGGCTCCCGTTACCTTCCTCATTAAACCTCGAACAAAGCTGCGGGGTGTGTTAGCGCGCTCCGGCTGGTCTTCCCCAGGGGGAGACGGGAAAAGCTGGAGTCAAAGACAGTGCAAAGGGCTGGATTCAGTGGTAGGACTTGAAAATGGCAATAAAGGGAAAAAGCAGCAGCTGGAGGAGGAAGAGCACAGGGCCCCTTTACATCTCCACGTAACATAGAAAACTTGGCATACTATGCTGCTAAAATAGTAGCAGTCAAGAGCCAGCACCAACAGCTTCCCCCCAACAAGTCTATATACTGTTTTGTCTAAAGGCAGAATACTTGAGTGGTGGGGACGGTTCCCTGGGCAGCTCGGTGCATCAGGAAGAGCCACTCAGCTAGCAGGCCATCCTGCCTGGAGTAAGCTCTAGACCCCTCACAGCATCGGTGGCGTAGATGGCTCTGCTGCTTGGTCCCCACATGCAGGGGGAACACGAGCATGCCAAGAACTAAGAAGCACGGTAGGATGATGGTGTGGTTTGTCCTCATCAACTATGACTGGGCTTTTAGAGTTTACACAAAGAGCAGTCTACCTTCCCATAAAGCATAAGTAACTGGATTCCATGCTCCACACTTCTTTAACCCCTGGCATATGTGAGCAAAGCCCAAGTGTCAACCAAGTGCCACTTTAGAGGACACTTGTTCTTCTCAGAAGCCAAGCTGAGCTCAAACGAGTGGCAGGCCAAACCCTTGGGAGGGAGACAAGTATTTTCAGCCTTTGCACTAAGAGCTTGTCTGTCCCTGTTTAAAATCAGGCCTAAAGACCTGCTGAAAAACCTTTCTGAAAATGTCTGCTACTCCTTTCAGGGTAAAATTCTGGGGGTGGGGAAGAGGTAGTCCACAGGGAAGAACTACTGGTAAGAGAGACAACTTGCTATGGCAGCAACGAAAGCACACAATCTGCATCACAGGCAGGCCACAAAACCACTTGAATCATGTGTCATACTTCATATATATCTATTTATCAATTAAGCTATTTTGTCTAACGTTTTTCATTTTAAGTATCACGCTGGTTTAAAGAAGACAAAGAGGGAGGCCAATAGGCAGATGCTCATCTTTGTTCTCCAAGCTGCACTTAATTAATTGTGAGTTGCTTTAAAAGTAATTTAGGACAATGCTTCCACTGCACATTGCTAAAGTCTGAGACTGTTCCTGTGTTTTCACTTCCCACAACACGTGCAAAGTGCTCACCTCTGCCCAGCTGTTAAAAACAAACCCCAAAATCCAGCCTGTGTGCTGACTGACTGGGGGAAGTCAGGTAGATGAGAGGTTGCTTTTCCTCCCTGCCCACCCCCCTTCAAGTAGTTCCTTTCTCTGTCACTTAGCTCTGTTTAAAAACCTTAAAATATAGATGTTGATCATGAACTCATCACGTGGGGCAACTGTGCCAATCACTGTGGTGGGCAGCCAGCCAGGGCTCGCTCTCAGAGACACGCCATTAGTCATGGGGATGACAGCTTCGGACGCTGGATCACTCACGTTAGGAAACAAAGTCACCAATTTATTATTTTTAATAAAATAATTGCTTTAATGCAGTATTTAAAATAATTTTAAACATCTGATCCATAAGATACAGTACACAAATATGGAAAATGCTGCACTTTACATAAAAAGTAAAGCTAAGCATTTAATTATACAAAACAATTTTGCCTGATGCCATCAATATCTTGCAAACTATAGCTTAGCCAAAGTACTGCTTTTCTTTTATATATATATATATGCTATATATACATATATAAATAATTTACAGCATTCAATTACTAGATTTGTTTACTACTGTTCCAACAAAAAAACCAAAACAAAAACCCATAACCAATTCACAACTTACTGAATTTGGTAACTATCTGCAGTGGTTCTGACGGTGGAGGGTGTTTGAGTCATCGCTTCAGGTTCTGAAGTAGCATGAAGCAAAAAGTCTCAGCAGGAAGCCATTCAATAGAGCCAGTGCCTTTCCCACTGGTCCCAGGAAAGAGCCATACGGCACTGGGTCATGGGAGACAAAACCTTTGGAGGCTGGGGAGAAGGGTGACCCAGGTGGTTTTCCTTCCACCACAAAGCGGTCTTCACCAGCAAGCAGAAAATCTTTGCATCTATTCTAACAATTTCAATAATCTGGAGTCCTCCTCCTCACTGAATGGAAACAGGCAACTGTCTAAACACTTTCTATTCGGGAAGTTTCCCTGTTATACCATGTTAAGGTATTAAATCAGCATTCTAAATAAAGCAGTGAATCCTGTGCTTTGCTTTTCTCCTTAAGAGAGTCTCCAGCTGCAAAGTTCCAACGCATCTCAAGTTTTCCCTTTTTTGCAGTCAGCACAGGTTGCTTTTGTTCATTTCCTTCTACGTCTATGCTCAGGTTCAATGCTATTTTTAATATCTACAGAAAGAGATTTCTGTTTCTTGTGTTTACCCTTCCTTTTTAGGCTCTTTCACCCCTTGTATTCAAGTTTAGTAACTCCAAATTTTCCCCAAACATCGAAGTATGCCCTAACTACACTGTCTGATGTACTTCAATCACACGAACAACCAATTTGGTCACCTTCTCTCAGTCACTTTCTCAGAGGAAAGGGGGAGGCCAGTTGAGGTGAGGTGGGGTGAGAAAGCACCCCTCCTTCCTTTTGCTTGCTACTTTGCTCTCCACAACCGAGCATCCAGTAGTAATTCTAAACCCAGAAAATTTAAGGAGATGCTGAGTGAGACAGGCAATACATTAGCATGTTGACTGACTGCTGGTTCATGATTAAATACAGTTGCCATGCTATGCAGTGCCTTTAAAGTGTTATTTATTTCCCTAAATAAGGTTGGATCAGAAGAAGGCACTACATGTAGAACAGATGTTGCAGACTCTGGAGTACTGAAGCAAGTGACATACATAAACTAGGTACACGTATCAAGCCCTCAGAGCCCGCAAGTCAGTTAAATGCAGGCAGGCAGGCAGAGGTGCTTGCATGTGCAGCTCTGTTTTCACTGGTTTACAGACTGGTTCAAGCCAAATATTATTAAAAACCCTACAGGTGCCAAGTTAGGTATTTAATAAAAATGTTTATCTGTAAACAAAAGTTATCCTTACAACGGATCACCTTCCAGAAATTGGAATTTCAAGACAGTGCAACAATGCTTCAGTGTTTTCTTTGGCAGTAGACAGCAAGGTGAAATGTAAATTCAATTCACTTCAGCAGAGCACGGTACAAGGTTAGAGAATGCTTCATCTCCCTCTCTTGTTCCATGCAGAATATCAAGTCCCTGAGACAGACGCGGGTTATTCTTGGACAGAGCAGCGGTTTCGTAAGGCTAAAACCTGATGATCCAGGAGCAATTCCATTGCGATTCAAACCCTAAACGGAGGAGGGACAGAGAAAGAAAACCAAAAACATTAGAATTCCATGTAAATACAAGTTTTTAACCACACTGGTTGGATTATACTGCCTACTTGCATAAAATTAGCTTGCTGATGTTCAGCTTTGCATGTTGGAAACCAGCACTTCAGAAATCCTTGCACATTAGATACTTTAAAAGACAAAGCAAGCACTTGCCAGTTGATGGATTATTTCAGTCAAAGCAAGCAGAACATTCTCTTTCTTTAAAACTATATTGTTATGGTAAGATAAATAACTGCTGTTTCACTGAAGTCACACTGCAGAGACACTTTGCACTGAGAAAGGACAAACTAACTACACAAATGGTACTACCATGGTTCCTGTGCAGAGCCCCAGGTTGTGCAAGGCTCTTACTCCCACTTGCAAACACCCGAGCTCCAGATGTTCCCATCTCTTCTTGAAGAAAACCATGACTGTGATTGGGCTCTACCTTGACGCACATCTGGGAGAAACTCTTACCCTGGCCCTCACCTGTGAATTGTCCTTTAAGGGAGCAACAAACACATGGAGTCAAAGCATCTGCACGTTCCGAACACTACCCGAGTCTGTTCATCTCAGTCGGCTGCCTCCCTTGGTTATGAAAGCACAGTTGGTAGGAGATGATGATGTTTAGTAGTTATACATTCAGGCTACTGGAATGAGCAACCCCCACGCATTCCAAAATGCCCCAAGATTTATTATTAGGGGCGGGGAGGAGGAAGATTACCACGAGCTGCACAATAGACTGGCTACTTATCTTGGAGCCAATCTATGCTACACAGCCAGTCTCTTATCACTACTGGAGGGTTCTCGGTAATGAATGCAATTTGTACAAATACGAGTGCTCAGTCTCTGTAACTTCAGCAAGGCAATGCCTGCCAGCATCAACACCAATTGGAGACGGTGTTGCTTGGATGCCGTGTTAACTATATCAATTCTTACCCTAACACTCTCTGCAAGACTTCAGCAAAATGACTTTGCCCACTTTGCTTAGAGAAATCTGGTTAAAACCCCCATATATTAGAAACAAATAGCAGGGCTGGACTATCTATAGCACTGAATGCTACTGTTGTTAGGGGGAAAGCATTGAAATTTATTAAAAAAAATAAAGAGATTCACCAGAGAGCATACACTAGCCACTGAAAACCCAGGGCATACTGCAGAAATGGAAGCTGTATTTCTTACTAGCAGCACGCAGGGTATTCAGCACCATTTCATTTGCTTTACAGTCAATACTATTAAACACTATGAAATGCCATCACTTGAAATTTTCAGTTTGTTAAATGGCTTGGAACAAATGCGTGCGTGGGGAAGACTGCTGGCCACATCACACAGAGAGGGCACTGCTGTCCTGGTAAGACACAAAAGGGTCACAGTTCAAGTTTGTCATATGACAACCCTGAAGGATCCAGGGAAAAGATAGCGCTGCAATGCAGCTGCCAGCACGGGTTGAAAAGGAGGTCAATCCAACAGGATGCAGCAGAAGGCCCCAGGCAATGTTATAAATGAAACAAACCCCAAGGGTTTTCAGTAACCCAGCAGCAATGTCCTTTATAATTCAAAGAACTTTATGGAGGTGAAAGTATTTTCTCTCTAAATAGTCATTAGACTAGAAGTCTTACCTTTAAAAAGAGACCAAACAAAGACACCTCATTGCTGCTTAATCCTTACAAGAAGGAGGGGGACAGCACAAATCCCCGAGCTTGCTTTGGAAGCTGTTAGAGATGTAAGATGTCACAACAGGGCAGGGGCACCAAGCTGTCCGGGTTTGAGACAGAGTTTGTTTTGCTCTTAAATTCTTACCCATCATGCCCAGAGCAGAGACATAAAGTGATGTTATGCTGTAATTAATACCACATCCAAAGCTTATCCTGGACTCCTGTTTGCTAAGACAGCCAGTTCGTACTTTGCCGTTTCACATCGCAACACACCGGCTCATAGAGCTACCAAGCACAGCATTCCAGGGACCAGGGGCTCTTACTAGTTACTGAACGTACCTAAACAAACAGCTGCTGCCACATCCAAGTTAAAAGAAAAGGTCCTCCTCTCAAAGTGCATGACGGTTTAAAATCAAAGAAGCTAATAGACTGCCTAGGTCATTCCAGTCCAGACTGGGACTGCGTTGGGGAACTCACTCTGAACTAAATTTATAAAGGGACGAGCACTAACTCCTTTCAGCTACTGTCCCCATGGGTTTGTTTTGGACTTTGGACCAAGCAGTGGAGGGTGACATACTGCCTGTATTTTTGTAATAAAACATTTAGAGAGCCAAAAGCGAAAACACTTAAAATGCCATCTGCGCATCAAAATGAACCATCACAGGTGCCTCTATTAATGTCCAATACTTTATTTAAGGAGTGCCCAACTCTTGAGCTCTCCACCTGACACAAGGGAGAATTTAGGGGAGGTTTCTCCACTGCTCAGTTCTCAGAGCCTCTTCTTGAGCAAGTTCCTCTTGGGCAGCAGGTTGATCTTGTCTGGCCCTAGGCCACAGTCAGCAGTCCTCTCCTTTACAGCTCATGTCCCCCTTCCTGCACGGTCCCCCATACTGCTTCTGAAACCTTAATACCCCGGTTAGAGCACCACCAGCCCAACTCCTTGCTCCCAGACATCTCTATTCCATTCCTCCCAGCTGGCCATCAGCCGCTTGTGACTTGTTATTTTGGGGGATTCTTCATTGCAGAAGTCTTCAGCCCATCCTAAGACAGCTTTGTGAGCCTCTTCTGAGGGGAAATGAAAAAAAGCTGCTTTTCAACCAGGCCACAGAAAAGTACAAAGATAAGTCAACATCCCTGTAGAACTAATTCTAGCAAAGGGTACTGCAGCCAGCCTGTACCCCCCCCTCTTCTGCAACACCTAATTATTAGTGCCTTAACTAGCAATTGTAGCTACTTCCTTCTTTATTTTTTCTTTTTTTCCCCTGTATTTTTTTTTTTTTTTAAATTGGGAACACTCCTCCACAGGGGAGACTGGAAGACATCAACCGTACCCTGAAGTTCCTACCTTTCACTGAACCCCCAGCACCCCACTTTCCTTCTGAAAGAGAAACAACACGGAGACGTGCAGCCCAGGAGGGGCAGCTAGCAGCATAAATTCTACTGGTCCGTCTGGGTATCATCAACTTGGGTATGGATAGCTGACAGACCCTGTTCGTAAGCCAGGTAAAGTGCTGCAGCAACGTGGCTCTCCACCGCTGGAAACCACCCCTTGCAGTACCGAGACCACCAGCTGGTTTAAAACCAGCCCCAGGAGGCCACAACAGCCACAGTCCTTCTGGCCTTCCTCAGAGGCAAGTCAAACCAGCAACTTTGCCAAAGCAACACGCTGCCACGCTTTCTTGATCCTCAGAGCCTTTTATATACACCTAACAGAGATCAGTTACTCTCACTGATCCTGGCAGCAGAAGACATTGTGGAGCTCCTGCTGTACTCCCACGCCTGTTGTGCAGCTAGTTTTGTTCACAGGTTGGTCCTGAAAACTGTTTTAAGATCTCTAGAGCTCTCTCCAGTGGCTGGACTGAGAATTAAATACCCACTCTCTCTGAAAAGGTGACATATGATCTGCCAGTCTGGATCACAGGTACTGACCAAGGATACCAAAGCTGCTCAGAGCTCGCCTCCAAGCCCCGATACAAAGCTCAGAGAGGTCAGCAGACACCTTCCTTCCCACTGAGTCCAGGTCAGGCTGTGAGCTGCTCCTGGCAGAGTACACCCTCCCTTCTCAAATTCAATGGCTTCACACCCACTGCATTCAAAATTTTAAACTCTTAAGAAGGGGCCACTTTAAGGGAGCAATGCATTCGGTCCAGTGTTAAAAAGTCAAGCCAAGAGTTCTCATTCTCACACATTTTTGGTGTGGCATAAACACACCCCAGCCTCAGAGCCCAGGTCCCAAGAGAGCAAACCATCACCGCAGCTCTGCTGCACATCGTAAACACACTGCCAGCAAAAGGAAGCAAAGGCACGAGACAGTTTTCAATGACATCTCCAAACACTGGATAATTACAGCTGCGTGCAGAAAAGACCTTACTGGAAGGTGGTACGGGCATCTAGCGAATTGGAGCAAAAGCACCCAGGTTCAAGGACCAGCTCTGCCACATGTGGTCACACTGATGCCTGTGGTATCTAGTGTACCCTGTACATTAGTTTCCCACCTGTAAAACACAGAACACATTCATGTCTCACAGGCATTAAAGAGGGGTTAAAAGCCATTAATGCACTGTGAAGTGCTCAAACACTTTCCCAGAGCGAGCAGCGAAAGGGAAGGAAGGGACCCTGTCAGAATTGTGGAAGTTTTGCTTGTCCAAATAAGTGCATAATTTAGGCCAGAGAAAACGAAGTGAAATAAGTTGATATTCTGTTGGTGACAAGCCAGTCTACTGATGCTGCCTATCCTAACAAACCTCAGTCTGCTAGAAGTACTCCCACATTCACAATACTGAAATACTACATTACTCAGTATTTACATAAATATGATATTTTTTAAAAAATAAAGTTGGTGGCATTGGGTGCTGGGTTTTCTTGGTGTTTTTTTTCCTTAACCATATAGACCACTAGGGTAGAGCAAGCCGATGTCTGAAAGGCTTAGATTTCTATTTCCAGGCTGCTTCTCGTGCAGCTGAAAGGAAACATGTATATGTATGATGTTATCTGCTGTAGTCTACAAAGAAGCCTCACGAAGCTGTCAGATCTATATAATAGAGAACGCTATTCAACTATGCATTTTTCCTCAGATTGCATTGCAACATTCCTACAAGTCCTTTCAAATGTAGGCAACAACATGTTTTACATATTGAAACAAATTACTGCGAATGTAATGTCAGTTTATTCACTATTATGCCCAAGATTCATGTACGCATGTCACTTCGTATGGCTACATCAGATGCTTAATCTGTACCTGGAGGTAATGAATACTATACAAATATGTCATGTTAGTTAATAGACAATTATTAAGCTGAAATTTTCTAGCTCTTTGCCACA